ATAGGGAGAGCAACTAGGGTCACATAACAATGTGTGTGTAAATTATGAGAAACTAACTTGAATTATAAACCTTCACTTAAAGCACAATTTAAAAAGAAAAGATAAGTGGAGGAAAAAAAGACTCTGAAATTTGCTCTTGAACATAGAGTAGCTAAAGTGAATGGAAGAAATGATGAAAGAACTGAAGAAAAAATTCAAGCCCTGAGTTGCAATACTGAACAACGCTGTGGGCAAAAAATTCAATGACACAGAAAGCATCAAAAGAAAATGGAAGAAATACACAGTGTAACTGTACCAAAAAGAACTGGTCAACGCTTAAACATTTCAGGAGGTAACATATGATCAAGAACCAACGGTACTGAAGGAAGATGTCCAAGATGCACTAAAGGCATTGGTGAAAAACAAGGCTCCAAGAATTGACGGAGTTATCAATTGATACCGTTTCAACAAATAGATGCAACGCTGGAAGCGCTCATTCACCTACTCCAAGAAACTTGGAAGACAGCTTCCTGGCCAACCATTTGGATGAAATCCATATACATGTCTATTCCAAAGAAAGGTGATTCAACAGAATGTGGAAATTATCAAACAATATCATTAATACCACATGCAAGTAAAATTATGCTGAAGATAATTCAAAAATGGTCACAGCAGTATATTGACAGGAAACTGCCAGAAATTCAAGCTGGATTCAGAGGAGGACACGCCTTAAGGATATCATTGCTGATGTCAGATAGATCATGGCTGAAAGCAGAGAAATACCAGAAAGATGTTTACTGTGTTTTATTGACTATGCAAATGCATCTGACTGTGTGGATCATAACAAATTATAGATAATACTGTGAAGAATGGGAACTCCAGAACAGTTAATTGTGCTCATGCAGAAGCCATACAGAGACCAAGAGGCAGTTGTTCAAACAGAACAAGGGTGCATCAGGGTTGTATCCTTTCACCATACTTATTCAATCTGTATGCTGAGCAAATAATCCAAGAAACTGAATTACACGAAGAAGAACATGGCATCAGGATTGGAGGAAGACTTATTAACAACCTGTGATATGCAGATGACACAACCTTGCTTGTTGAAAGTGAAGAGGATTTGAAGCACTTACTGATGAAGATCAAAGACTAAAGCCTTAAGTATGGATTACACCTCAATATAAAGAAACCAAAAATTCTCACAACTGGACCAATAAGCAATATCATAATAAAAGGAGAAAAGATTGAAGTTGACGAGGATTTCATTTTTCTTGGATTCATAATCAACACCCACGGAAGCAGCAGTCAAGAAATCAAACGACATATTGCATTGGGCAAATCTGCTGCAAAATACCTCTTTAAAGTGCTAAAAAGCAAAGATGTCGCCTTGAAGACTAAGGTGCACCTGACCCAAGCCATGGCATTTTCAACTGCGTCATGTGCGTTCAAAAGCTGGACAATGAATAAGGAAGGCTGAAGAATTGATGCTTTGAATTATTGTGTTGGCAAACAATATTGAATATACCATGGACTGCCAGAAGAATGAACAAGTCTGTCTTGGAAGAAGTACAGCCAGAATGCTCCTTAGAAGTGAGGATGGCAAGACTTTGTCTCACATACTTTGGACACATTATCAGGAGGGCCCAGTCCCTGGAGAAGGACATCATGCTTGGTAGAGGGTCAGTGAAAAAGTGGAAGAACCTCAACAAGATGGATTTACCCAGTGGCTGCAACCACGGACTTAAAGATAGCAATGATTGTGAGGATGGCGCAGGACTAAGCAGTGTTTTGTTCTGTTGTACACAGGTCTCTATGAGTTGGAACTAACTCGACAGCACCTAACAACAAACAACAACGACGATTTATCACATAGAAAAAGACTCAACTTCAAATTTTAAATTACAGTCAAAACCATAAAATTACAGACTAAATTATATCTAAATCTTTCAACAAAACTACACAGATTGAATGAATTGCTAAAGAAGACAAGACTACTTACTGGCAGATCAAACTAGAACCCAGGTCTATTATTTCTAGTCCATTGTTCTTTTAATCATATAACACTGCATCCCTTATTTAAAAGTCCATAAAATGTGCATTTAAGTATAATGTACAGATTCATTATATAAAAAGCCTATAACAGATTCCCAACCTACCACTAGATGTTTACCTCTAGTAAGGATATTAGGCAACTGGGATATAGTTAGATATGCTTGCCTGTGGAAGTTACTGGGATATAGTTAGGTATGACTGCCTTAAGGAAGACACAGACCACACCCACGTAGACAGCGTTGCTAGTATCAATCATTAAGCCCTCTCTTTGGGATATGAAATTGAGAGTCTACATATGTTTAAAGATGCTCCTGAGTAGTAGAGAAAAGATGGCTTGTGTCAATTCGAGGCAAGCCAGCAGCTGGAGAGAAAGCAGAGCTAAAGAAGACTAAAACTAAATCCCATATGAAAAATTATCTCACATGCCATTCTCCATGCTTACTTCCTGCTACTTTCTACGTTTACTTCCTTTTGATTGTTGCCTTGCCTTTGTTAAAGTCTTATGTAATATTCTAGCCTTATGTACATAGTGCTACAAGAATCAGAAAATGTTGTATCAGAGGAAAAGGGAGAGCAGGCCCCACCATGGTCAGGATAGCGTCACAGCTGCAGAGAGAGCCAGACTTCCGAGCCAAAGACTCTAAATTCAGAGC